AATACATTCAGTTAATCCAAAAGGGAAGGTGATGTGAGGGACTTAAGGTGCTTACTATTAACCACAGCCCCAGTTTGCGTGGCAGGTGCATATTATTCCCCTCCTCTCCCCACATTTCCTGTCATCTCTCTACTGTCACTAACTGATAAAAGCATAAATGCCCCAAATACAATCCTAAAAAGTAATGTTGTTCTTAAGAGTCACTGTGGATAATAGCTTTGTATTTCTGTTAAAATCCCAGGAAGAGGAGAGACAGATGAAGGAGGAGAGGAAGAAGAGAAGAAAGACCATCTTTCAGAAACTCCTGTCTCCTCTGCCATCTTGCAAGCCACCATCCGTTCCTTGTCTCCACCACGTCGTCACAGCTGGGAGCTGAACAGGAACAACGCCACTGCAGACACTGACATCACACAGAGCAGGTACTGGTTTTCCAACAAAATCTGTCTTTATAAGTTAGGATTGTAAAATATCTAGTCCTCATGGAACTTCAAGTCCAAAGCAACTCACAGGACTAGTTAGTCTTCAAAGAGCCATCAAAGGACCATCTTGTCCTACAGAGACAGTGGGTGAGAGTCACCCCAAAGTGTCCCACCCACACCCTTTTAGTATGGTGGGAGAAACTCTTTCATGACCTCTGAACAGCTGTGGCTGTCTGACAGCATTTGTGTTCATCTGCTCCGATCTCTGTTTCCTCTCGGTTTTTTCTGTCACCTTCTCCAATGTTGTAGATTCAGATGTGGAAACACACTGCATTCTTCATTTGTCTACATTCACCATCATAGTTGATGAAATACCGTATGTGATACTTTATCCAAGTAGTTTGGTGGGAAGAACCATTCAGTGTGTTTGTGGAGTGGAAGACTAGTTTCCATTGGTAGTCATGGATTCTGCTCTTCCTGTTACAGATGGAGCTGATTCATGTCAAAGTAAAGAGGCAGCAAGCTGAACACAGCCGCACATTTCTGAGAGAGGAGTCACTAAATTATCCTCTACACTACAGCCAGGTTATCTTCTGTATGAAACAAGGATGTTCCTGAATCTGAATACTTTATTCATAAAAGCACACATATTGTGGTGGAGACATTTATTCTACCCAAAGTTGCTCCTCAAGAATGACATGTCTGTGTTTCAGACATTATGGGCTGTAGTTTCACAGACCGGGCACCTGCGCTTCGCCAACTGGGTGTGGCCAGGCGGATTTTGCAAGTTTGGCACACTGTGAAGGCATGGAGTGGGTTTTACACACATCACACCAATCAAATGAGCCCCTCTCCTCGCCCTTAAATGCGCAGCGCAAAGGCGCAATGAGAGTTTACTCAATTCGCCATGGCAGAAGAGAGCAGCAGTGTCAAATGGCCAAACTTCTCCCAGGAGGAAACTGATGTTTTGGTCCGGGAGGTCCAAGCTCACAGTGTCCGAATATACGGAACTGCAAGCAGACCTCCAGCAGAACAAGCAGTCTCACTCTGTTTCTTTTCTTTTGACTTTTCTAAGATGATAGATGCTGAATATATACTCCCTGTCTGATGCTGTGGCTGTTTGTGGTTGGCTGAGAGGGATGTGAACTCATTAGTTTGCAGCTGTGTTAATCAAATCAGGTTGGGTTTCCATTACACGTGCCAAACGGTGCCAATCCCCTTTGATCTGACATCAGATGTGACAGGACAGTCGATATAGAGATACATTTATGTGCTGATTGCAGATAGTTGCATTGAATAGTGTTTTTTTGGGTATTTATTGCATTATTAATGTGCCTGATATTCTGGAAACCTGCCTGTTTTGGTGACGTGTGCGCACTGTCCGCCGGTCAGCCAAACTTCGACTTACACCGGCTGCGCTCCGCCTGCGCTGACAGTAGACCTGGTTTCAGCTGGCAAGCTTTTAGCGCACCTTCAGAGAAGCCTTTTGGCACGAAACTGTCACTGCGCCAAGCTGGATCTGTCGACACCTCCCCCTGCTGTACCGCCACACCCATCTCAGCACATCTCGGTCTGCCAAACTACCAAACTGAGCGCGCCTCGGGTTGCGCTGCTCGAAAATAGCTCTGCACGGGGTTCGCCACCCTGCGCTGCGCCGGGAAACTAGAGCCCTATGTGTCATAAATCAGTCCCTCCAGGATGTTGCAATGTTACAGTTGCAATGGTTAATGCAAATTCAGCCAGTCCTTGTGAATTTTGTGCAACCTTGCATTTTTGTCCAATTACTGTAGCTTTTCCGCAAAGTTGACTATTTTAAACGGGTGAAATCCAACTGGCAACTTCCGAGGCTAAAAAAAAAAAAAAAAGTGAAGCCAACATGCAGTTCATCTATTGGCCGCTTGAGGGTGGCTCCAGAAGCCAGTCAATCCCCATAGACCCCCATGTTAAAATGCGATCAGTCTATTCCATCCTTTTTTTATTTCCACTAACAGTCCATCTGTCCCTTTTTTCAGCTCACTGAAGAGTCTGTCAGGAGAGGTGAAGAGAGCTAAGCCCCCCCTTCACAGGAGAAGGTACACCTTCATCTGTCACCTGCTTCACCCACACATCATACATCACTCTGTTTGTTAATGTGTCCACATTCTTCTTCTTCTTCTTCATACTGCTGTGTATTGTGTGAAAAAGCCAAAAGACTGGCTATATAAGACACTGATATGTCAGTGAGTCCCTGTCCAGACCTTCTCACACAAGAAAGACAGTAACACAGCTCTGATTTCATGGAGTTCTTTCATGCTCACATTAGTCACTGATGACCACGGCAGTTTAGACGCATGATGGAAAAAGTGTCTAAAAACCAGAATGTAGAAATGATGACATTCTTAGACCCTCTGTGTGTAGATAGATGAGTGTGTGCTTCATTTGTACCAAACTAAATAACAAAGTGAGTCCAACAGTATTTAGTAACAATTTCTGAAGCTCTCAAAACACGATTAGAATACCATTATTCTCCTTCATAGCAGTCAAGCAAGTTTAGCATTCTTGTCTTTTATGACTGGACTACAGTGACTGAGTCAGCTTTGCAGTCTCAGACTGCTCACATGACATTAATTCTACACACACACACACACACACTCACACACACACACACACGCTCTCAAAAACACACTCCCAGTACCATGCATGGTCTTCAGTGGAAAAAGTGGAAAAGTCATTAATAGAATAAAAGAAGTAGCTCCACACCATCTGGTAGGACTAAAGGCTCATTTATATTCTCTTTACATACGAAAATAGATACATCTGTTTCTAATGTTGTAAATGTCACTGCCCTCATACAGCCATACATTCTTTCTGATGGCATAGATATAGCCAATAGATCGCACTAGAGAACAGAGTCAAAAGTTTCACACAACAACAACTGAGGCGATGCTGGAGGAGGTCGTAATATTGTACTGTTTTAACGGGGGCAGCGTTGGAGCTGGTGGTGGTCTGTGAGGCCATTAAATACATTGCGATATGTGAACGGAGAATACTTTTCACTACATTACCGATTCATTGTCTCCTATAGCTGTATTTCACTTGAATTACATTACACTGCCTCTACAATCTGTGGTGGTACTGCTTTTTTCCATCCATATCTGTAAGCTTTCAGACAAGTGCACAAAGACGTATAAAGTAAACTCAGAGTACCGACAAATGGCTGCCTGCATCAATTTTAACTGTGGAATCAGTTTCACAGCACTTCTCAGGAGGCAGTTTTGGTCCCCTGCACTTTTTACTGTCCAAAAACAATGTTACGCGCTAATAAACTGAGACGAGTCGAGCACTAGGACCACACAGAAAATGGCCGCTCAAACTGAAACCTGTTTCCCTTTAGAGGGCATGGTGAGAACTCCAACAGGGCTCTGAAGTCTCACGCTTTAAGACTGTGACTCATGCATTTTAACCTTTTCACACTCTCACCCGCCACACCTGGTATTTCTCACGCATAAAAAAAAATATTATGATATCGTCACCAAGTTACACGCTATATATGTAGTGGAACGTGTTGCAAGACGCTGTGGTTACCGTAGAGCTCAACAAGAGCTTGCCACACTCCAGCCAATAAAAATAAGACACAGCTACCCATCAGCCAATCAAAAAATAACATACAACTACCTATCAGCCAATCAGAAACTAGCATTGCTGTATCCCGGTAAGATACAGGTGATCTGACTGCAGCAAAAAGAGGGTGCACACACAAGAGGGGGGTGCCTTATCACATGTGTACAGTAAGTCATCTCATCATTTGATTTTGTAGCTTACTGAATGAAATTACATGTTGCACAAAAGGAAAACAATGAGAGCTTATCTCAGGGAATATCAGCATTTACTGAACAGTTTGACAAGACCATGTCATGTCAACTTTAGCCAACAGCATTCCAACTAATGGATCGTTGGCATGTCAACTTTAGCCAACAGCATTCCAACTAATGGATCGTTAGTGCCTTAGTGGATAGAGCAGACGCCCCATATGCAGGGCTTTTGCCGCAGCAGCCCGGGTTCGACTTTGGCCTGTGGCGCCTTGCTGCATGTCACTCCCTCTGTCTCTCTCCCCCTTTCACGCTTCACTGTCCTGTCAATTAAAGGCAAAATGCCCCCCAAAATGAAAAAAGAATCCTTGCTAATTTCAGCAGCTATTTTAAACACATATAGATGGTTGATGACTTATTTGAAATTGGAATCCTTTATAAACTATCATACCCAAGGCCTGCCACGTCGGTGCAGTCAACTTAACTAATCTGGTTAAAACAAATTCAATCCAGCTGCTCACTAACGTTAATGTTGAGCACTTCACATCAGATAACGTTAGCTAGCTATTTGACTTGCCATGAAATGTAGCTATCTTATTTAGCTAACATTAGCTAGCTAGCTAATGCAGAGCACTAACATTAGTAATATTATTAGCTAATGTAGCCTACTGTAGTTGACTCCAGGGCAGGAATTTCACGAGGGCCACTAGGGCCATGGCCCTTGAAAAAAATATCTGCCCTAAGGCCACAGTGGCCTTGATGCCCCGTCCGCACTGCCCCAGGTGATTTTGCAGTTTTCTCCTCTGCCTCTTTCCTGTCAACACGGCTTTGACACCTGCGTCTTTTTTGAGAAAAAAATAATGCAATGACATTCTGGATTCTCAGACAGGCTATAACAACAGTTTGACACCAATTTATCACCGGCCAACCAGGAGACTTCATCAAACGCCAGAGCAGGGATCGGTACCGAGACCCGGTATTAAACAACCCAAGGCAAGTTTAATAAAGACCGTAATAACAGTAAGGTCCGCCATTATCGACGTTACTTTTTAAAGTTGAAGATGACTCTAGTTAACGTCAACTACGCTTGTTACTGAGAGTGAGTGTGATAAAATCTCTGCCAGCCAAGCCAGTACTTTATCAATACATGAGATCAGCATGTAGAAAGCAATATTTCAGCCCCCTCTGTCCGCAGTCTCTCATTCATGCTCATGAGTCGCGGTGCTAACAGCAAAGTGTTAAGACAAACTAAAATGAAAGCTGTCTGTATGTAGGCTAAGACTTTATCTGAAGATGCACCTGAGGCAGCCGACCTGCAGACAGTGAGTGTCCTCAGTAGAGGAGGGACAGAGAGCAAGATTTATGACTGATACTGATGTTTTTCTTCATGCTGAGATAACGTGACTTTCTTCACTCAGTATTGTGATGTCAGGTGGAATATTTATATTCCAGTGAGATATTACTGGGTTTTAAATGAGGTGAGGTGTGTGCATGTGTGTGTGTGGAGGAGAAGAGAGAGGGAGATGGTGGTAGAGAGATAGTGTGTGTTATTAGATACTGTTAATGTCACTTATTATGCTTCTGTGCATTGATAGCTCTTTTTTAGTCTGTTTCTGCATTATGTTGAGCAGGGCCATGCCTGTATAAATATATATATGTATGCAAAAAACAAGTGGACGCTCGCTGCTAAAACTGTGGTCCATCGACACGATCTGGTTTTGAAATGCGGCCAAGTTGAAATAGTAATTGAATAGCCCTGCTGTAGTTTGTTAGCTATCTAACAACACATCAGAAATACTTGTAAGCCAGTCTTGTTCAGTGAATCAGTGTACCATGTACACTCAAAAAAAACAGCTTTGCCTATTTTGGGGATCTGGCAGGATGCCGGTTGATGTGTTTTTTACATTTCTTTAAAAGTCGGACACTGCATGCAAGAATGAGATGGTATTTCCAGTGTGAAGTGCGGGCAGTGGAAATGAGCTATTGCAAATTTTGTACCACTTCCTGTATCACCTCTGTGGTTCTAGAGAAGAGACACTGACTATACGTCATGATGCTGTATATCAATTATAGACCACACCACACAAATTTGAAGTTGACCAAATTTGAAGTTGATTGGATTAAATCTGTAGAATTTTGTTAAAGTATGACCCTGTAAATGGCAAAAAAAAAAACATGCAGACAATTTGCTTAGTAAATTCAATTTGGCTGACTTCCTGTTGGGTTTAGGATGTGGCTCCAAAATGCTTTTTTGTAAGTTTTGGGATGTTACACATGCCTCCCATTTTCATACATCTGCGTGAAACTTGACTTGGGGGCTACTTTTTTTTTTTAAATTTTATCAAACAAGAGAATGAGATATATATGAATAATAATGAGAGAATAATGATTCCTTGCACTTCCATAGGGTCCTTGCACTGTTTTGTGCTTAATAATAATTCCTTCAGTTTCAATAGGGCCTTTGTGACTACCTGGGGTCAGTGCTCAGGCACTAATTAAAGCTGTTATGGAGGAGGTTGGGGATGTCGTATGTTGGGGAGGTTAGCTGGATGTCGGTTGACAAGGTCTTGCATTTTGAAAGTCTTGGGATGTTAGCTGTACTTCCCACTTTTCATACCTCTAGGTGAAATGTATCAAAGGGACTGCCTCATTGAATTTTCTAGGGGGGCAATATAAAGACATTTTCTCACATCCAATTTTTTGACGTAGCTGCCATGAGGCCAAGACTGCATAAGGAATTTCAGGCAGATAGACACCAAGCACCAGTTAATGCTTGGGCCCTAATAACAATTCCTTTAGTTTCAATGGGGTCCTCACAACAGTTGGTGCTTGGGCCATAATAAAGATTAGTAAGCTTAACCTTCTCCCACCTAACTTATCCATTTATGCTGTTGTGCACACATCATTTTAATAGATACAAGGTGTCAGTCATTAATCATTCAGAGACATCCCTGTTATCATAATGCCACCATCATTAATCTATCTTCTCAATCTCATTCTAGGTTTAAAACATCCTTTCATCAAGTATGTATCTCTTGTCTTTCTATTATTCACCCTTCACCCCTCCATCTTTCACTTTCTCCAGTATGAGTTAGTGTCCATCCAACCTGTGTTGTCTTGATAAGGAGCAAATAGACAACAGAAGGTAATCAGTATAGGTTTCCCTCAGCGGCCAAAGCATTAACTAGAATGTAAAACACATTCAGAAATGTAAACCAGTCCTGCTGCATAGCCCAACATGTAAAAGGACATGATAGTTATATGCAGGGGCACTGCCAGGAATT